GTGTGTGTGTGTGTGTGTGTGTGTGTGTGTGTGTGTGTGTGTGTGTGTGTGTGTGTGTGTGTGTTTTTAACCTCTCTAATCAAGGCATTGTTACTTCCTGTCTGTCAGGTTCAGAGTCACTGATAGTCCACACCTTTTAGGCACTTCTTGTCATTCTGCTTACAGCTTTCCCACTTTAGCAGTGATCTCCATGCCGGAGTTGTCATAGCACCTAAACAAGTCCCACAGACAGGGAAATCCCAGAAGATCTGCAGACCAGCTATGAGCCTGACTGGGGGCTAGAAGACTGGATTGAGTGAGGGCTAAAAGACTAAGGAACTCTCTGTGTGAAGACTCTCCAATTGCACAATCATTGGAAGGAGGAAGTGGCTAAATTTGGGCAAAGTTTGGAGGAAACAAATATTTTGCTTTAAATATTTAACTTGTGGTTAAAATGATTAGTAGTCAAATTTAGTCTAGTTTACGTCAAGTAAAATGTGTGACTATACTGTGGGGATGGCATGGTCCTCTTATTAGTACTACAACTGTTTTTTGTGAGCAATACAAACACTACAAATCAAAGGTTTGGACATATCTACTTATTCTTTATTATTACTATTTTCTTCTATTATCCACTATTTTCTACAAACTAATAGCAAAGTCATCAAAACTATGAAACAAACAAACAAAAAAAAACTAAACAAAAGGATGTGTGGGCATAATGGATAGACTAAAACTGTTAAATAAATCAAATCTCTTACATATATATAAACTGATACACTTTTTAAAATAAAAATATTATATTTTGGCATCTTCAAAGTAGCCACCCTTTGCCTAGATTACAGCTCTGCACATTCATTCTCTTAACAAACGAATTATTAATTGTCTAATTATCTAATAAATGACTGAAGGAATTTCCATGTATGCAGGGCATGCTATCCATGCCTTTTTATCAATTATTTAAATTTTTATGTTAATTTTGTACAAATATAATCATCATCATCATCATATATAAGCACAATTTAAGTTTGTCAACAAATAATTTCATACATGTAAAACAGACCTTTAGATCATCAGCTTTTAAGATAGGGATAAATTATGGAGGTACAGTGTCAACCCTAATCCTATTCTGATCCTGTATAATTCTGTCTAAACCCTGTATAATTCTTCTCTAACACTTTGATAAATAATTAGTTAATCATTAACATTCACAAACATTTTTATTATATAATACCTAAAGCCATTATTAGACAGTTATGAAGAATTAGAAATATGATTAACTTTATATATTTTTATATTCATATTGAATCATGTACATGCATATATAGTGCTTTGTTAAACATTATATAATAGTTGTTAATGAGAGTAAATGAGAGTCTTACAGATACTTTTTCTTTAGCAATACAGTGGTATTTGCACTTGTTCTTTGCCATTTTACAGTATAACATTTTTCATTTGCAATATTGTTTAACATGTATCTTTTGCTAACTGCTTTGGTTATTGGCATTACACTATATACGGTGTTGTAAAATAAAAATCAATTTCACACTATAGGGATCTGGAGGTAGGGACTGTGTACCAATTAAAATAACCAGATAGATTAAAGATTAACTAATAGCCTAATCTAATTAGACACAATACCTTATTATTTTAAAGTTACCACGCAGCTGTGACCAAGTTTTGACTTTATCTAATTTAGCATGAAGCAATACACCTTACAATTTTATGTTAATACGTGCTCTCAAACTTTTAACTTTTGAATAAACTTTTGAAAATGTTTTGATTTAAACCATTTAGATTTCAATCAGATGCCTCCAGTTTCACTTTAACTAGCCTCGATGCTTTAAAAATAAATGTTTCACCTGCTTTACCTCAAAAAGTGAAGACAACAAAAATAATAATAATAAACCAATTACATAATCATTATGCAGAGTCCTTATATGATATCGAGCAAGAGATCCAGAGAGTCCTGTTTATCTGATCAACATTTTTTGCTTTGTCACTTACCCCCCGGTAAGCTGATAGGTCCACAGCCTTTACCAACGAATTCCTCATCCTCAATATAGATGTATTTCTTACAAAGTTTCCAAAGGCCAAAGTGGGCTGCCTCACATGTTGTGTTTACGTTCTCCACTCGAGGACTCAACACGGCCCAGTGGTCTGTCACCACTGCTGTTAACATGCACACTGAGCCTACCATGATCACAAAAAACAAGATTTTTGTCTTGGTTTCCTTCTGCATTTTGTCCAGTATCCACTGCTAATGGACAAATAAAATGAAAAATGACACAAGATTATTTCTTACACTCAGTGTAAGAATCCCTGACAGAATAGAACAGAAACCTGGCCCAGTTCGTTCTTGATTCTTAAGGTCTCTGTGCAGCACTGTGCTTGTGCATGGATAAAAGGAACCAAATGCCAGTGTCCTAGTATTTATGCCGAGAGGCCAGACTCAAACCGCAGCTGTTGGGGCTCGTCAGTAAAGTTGATGACCAAACGGACTTGTCTCACATGAGGTCTTTGGGGGGTGAGTTGGGTTTCTATATATGTGTGCTGTGAGTCATGTCTGGTTGTTGACAGAGCAGGTTTAATCTGGCTTTACTAGGGCGTGACAATTCCATGACAAGAATTAATCATTAGGTATAAGTGGGATTTAATATAATGTGAGAGGCAAACTGGACTAAATTTAACTCTTAACAAACTTCATTAAAGTGTTAATTAAAGTATATTTTAAGTGTAGAACAGCTGATAAGTTAAATAGCCATTAAATTCTATGAGAGCTTTCAAAATAGTCTCAATAGTGCTACACTGAAATAAAAGTTCAACTCTAAAAGTCCAGAAAATAAAAATCTGATTTTTTTTTTTTTTCAAGAACAGCCAAATCTGCTGGATTTTCCTCTTCATTTTCCTCATAATGAATGGGTGTTGGGTAACTGCGGTTCCCAGCATTTGCTGTCAGCCATGATAAACCACACCTCCAGCAAATGATGAAGTGTTACATGTGTGTAAAGACTTCAGACTAGACATTCTCATGGAAGAATGATGTTTGTGTATTTTTTGTGTACTTGTGCATTTTTCATGGATTTGTTGCATGCAGTAGACACTGCCTGGGGCGCCGCTAGCAATTTTGGGCCTTTGAAAGAATATGAGGTTGGACCCCCTACCGCACCAAACATACACTATATTGCCCAAAGTACTGGGAAAACTCAATAAAACAAAAACAAAAAAAAAACTCATCACCAAACACCAATGACTTGTACATATGCGTACAATCATTTTAGACACTTCTAAAACTGTGTCAAAAAGATGGAAATAAAATTTTGAAATACATGAATTATGTTTCCATCTTTGATGCCACAGTTTTGGAAGTGCCTTTTTCTGTTCTAAAGAAGGGGGTGTCCCAATACTTTTGTACTTACAGTGCCTTACGAAAGTATTCACACCCCATTCATTTTTTCACATTTTGTTATGTTGCTGCCTTATGTTAAACTGCTTTAAATTACTTGTTATCCACATCAATCTACTCCATACACCATACTGGCAAAGCAAAAACAGAACTGTCACAACTTCGTAAATTTATTAAAAATAAAAAACTGAAATAAGTACATTGCATAAGTATTCATACCCGTAACTAAATATTTCGCTGAAGCACCTTTACAGTCTCAAGTCTTTTTTTGTTTGATGCGACAAGCTTTGCTCATCAGTATTTTGCAATTATCTGTCATTCTTTACCTCACCTGTTGAACTCTCAAGCTCTGTCAGGTTGGATGGAGGCAGATGCACATTTTCAGGTTTCTCCAGAAATATTTGATTGGGTTCAAGATGTTAAACTGCTTTAAATGACTTTTTTTCCACATCAATCTACACTCCATACACTATACTGACAAAGCAAAAACAGAATTGTCACAACTTCGTAAATTTATTAAAAATAAAAAAAACTGAAATAAGTACATTGCATAAGTATTTATATCCTTAACTAAATATTTCGCTGAAGCACCTTTACAGTCTCAAGTCTTTTTTTGTTTGATGCGACAAGCTTTGCTCATCAGTATTTTGCAATTATCTGTCATTCTTTACCTCACCTGTTGAACTCTCAAGCTCTGTCAGGTTGGATGGAGGCAGATGATAGAACTGCTTCACTGGGGCAAACAAACAAAAAAATCCTAAAATAATAAATAGGATACCCCATAACACCAGCATTTCCAGCATTATCCAACATTTCTCAATCATGATCTTACTCAGCTAAATGTGACTATTAGCTTAACAGCTGTATTCCTTGTTTGCTAGCTGCACATACAGCATACAATGTTAAAAATGTTCTACATTATGAACCTTAACCCAAAAACCTTTAGCTTCATACACTGTAGATAATTGTGACCCTGCCTGTGGAAACCCAGTTAAAGTATTTTTTAACAGTGGATGAGTAATTCACTTCTTGATTTGCTTAATAAAAGCCTCCTTTGAGATCGTTTTGACAGACATGTTTATTCTGTATTATTTTCAACGTGTTTATTGCTAAGTTTAGTGTGGCAAAATAGAAGCGCTGCCGTAATTCGTGAGCAGTGTATCTGGTTGCCATGAGAACCTCACGCGCTTCCTGCTGCTGTTCTATGTAATCAGATTGTGAATTTGTAGATTTTCTATCGCAAAACTAAAATGTGTTTAAAAGTGTGTCTGACCAAATCATCCGGCTTGGTTTGCCCCCCTCGAACTCCAAGACATCTCTAATTTGACAGTTAGTTTACCATCTGATCTCACCATAGGATCTCACTCGTGACTCTAGGCTATGTAGGACGGGACGAAACCATGCAGTGAATGGGGGGAGATAATTTTGCTGGAAATGCAGAAATAAGCCGTAATTTTGTTTTATTTGTAACTCTTTGGTAGATACATTTATAATTTCTATTACATTGCTACTACTACTGTTACTACTAATAAAACAGATCTCTGGGGGCCCCAGAAGTACGTGGGCCCTTAGAGTCGTCCTAACTTCCCCCCCCTTAGCGGCGCCCCTGCTGCTACATTTACAGTATATGCAGAACTCACATAGTTTTCATAGGCTACTGAGTTAAAAATTGTGTTTGTTCCCTTAAAAAATGTGACTGGTTTGAACTGGAACTGATAAGGGGCACCCTTTTGAAATGTACTCCCCTTCACAGCCTTGTGTATATAATAAGACATGTTCACAAGTTACTGAGTTTAAGTCCAAGTCAAAACTCAAGTCTCTGGTGTAGAGCTGAGTCATATTGTTCGCCTACTGCTATTTATTTTTTTGCTTAGTAGTATGGTTGAACTAGATCAGGGGTAGGCAAGTTCGGTCCTAGAGAGCCGCAGTCCTGCAGAGTTCAGCTCCAACCCTAATCAAACACACCTGAACAAGCTAATCAATGTCTTCAGGATTACTAAGGCTATAGGTAGGTGAGTTTTTTTTTTCAGGGTTGGAGCTCTCTAGGACCGAACTTGCCTATCCCTGAACTAGATCATTGAAGGTCAACGAAAAGATACTGGTTAAAAAAATGGGATTAAAAACATAAAGGATATTTGTGTTATTTAACATTTTTAATTAATGCAGGTTTGCATCATATTCTTAGTTTGCATTTCACTGTTTATTCATTTTGAGGTACACTGATTCTGTTTTTGTCCAAGTGAGATAAGTAAATGCATGTTCACATTTAGTCTAGACTTAATGACAGTCACCATCAAATTTGCACAGCGTGTAAAAACAAATTAACTGGTGTTAGTTGTTTGAAAAAGTAACTCAGATATTTTCTTGTAAATTAACCTAATTACTGTAATTAAGTAATGCGTTATATTATTAGTAACTCACGATAATTGTAACGTGTTACCCCCAACACTGATTACTTTTCTTCTGTTATTTTTATCCCTGCCTTCATCCTGAATTATGCATAGATATGCTCCAGCATTCCCATATGACCTACAGAGGATAAGCGGGTATACAAAGTAAATGGATGGATGAATGGAAAGATGGATGGGTTAATGGATAGCATTGACAGTGGGTCAGTGTATGGTCAAGTGGCATACTGTATATTATTGCAAAAATGACAGATGTGATTTCAGTAATAATTCTCCTGCTATTTTTGTCCAGTCTTCACCATAATTGAGTCAGGTGCAGCTTCAGATTGTTAAACATGCTTGTCAAATGTTATCATATAGATATTTTATATTCAAACTAGTTTACCCAACAGCATTATTTCAGCAATATTGCTTTACTGACTTCAAGTATTGTATTCAATTTGGTATTTCAAGTTGGGAACATTCATAGAGTAATAAATCAACCTGAACTGGTCACTTATAAGCTGCAGGTTTGGACCACGCAAAGGGTAAAACACTATAAAACTATAATAATAGTAGCTGATATGAATAATGCACTATTATGTGTGATGCCTGGCTTCAGAATGTTTGGCATATAGTGCAGGAGTACTGTCTACTTTTATTATATTTTAGAACATTTTAATAAAGTTTTAATTAATAGAATGTTGGCTTTAAGTTTGGGAAATGAGTTATTAAATGTCTGATTAAGTCGGATGTTGTTGTGCCAGAATCTTTCATGTTTATGCCACAGATCTGACATCTATTATACTGTTTTTTTTTTTTTTTTTTGCAAACATGCCAGAATGAAAGCAAAGTAACATCACAATTCAACATCATCCAGCCCTCCCTATTCCCCTGATGTTAATTATTGCTGGAGTGGATAGTAGAATGACCATGGTAAGAGTTGGGTGTAGTAGGCTACTTTCAGGGCACGGCTGGTAGAACTGCTGAGGTGGAGGATTCTGAAGCCAAAGCAGTTCTGCCGCCCTTCGAGGATTTCTCTCCAGCCTCTGTTGGATCTGGAGGTTATGAGCAGCTTAAAGTCTGCTTGGCTTGAGCTGAAATGGAGGTGCATGAAAGGGCAGAGGAACGTCAGGCTGAGATGAAATTACGACTCAAGGTTCGCAGGCTGGAAATTGAAGCAGAAAAGCAGATCAAGCTGCTTGAACTGGAGTTGAATGCAGCCAAAAATGCACCTGTTCCAGTTGTTTCCTGTGCAGGCCGCTGATGCTCCGTCGGGTGCTGGGTCGCTGGGAACCACCTTTGATGTCAGTAAGCATATCTTTGCCATGCTGCAGTTTTGAGAGGCAGAAGTTGATAAGTATTTTAGTGTGTTTGAGGCACATTGCATCTGCACTTAATTGGTCTAGGGAAGTGTGGCCTCTGTTGTTGCTGTGCAAATTAACTGGTAAGGCTCAGGAGGTTTGCACTACTTTATCCTTAGAAACTTAAATTATGATATGGTGAAGGCTGCAATCCTGCACACTTACGAATTAGTACCAGACGCCTATAGGCAGCTGTTTAGGATAATAATCTGATATAGCTGCGTCTATT